GTCATCGTTGGCATACAGCCAGGAGTCCTGCATATCTTGATGCTTTTGCTGTACTATGCTGCAAGCGTTCCTCATAGCGTCTTGTTGGCTGTGGTGCTGGGATCTTCTATATTAGCATTGTAAGCGCGATGTTTGTACTCTAGAAGCTACGTGATCTCGACATGGTTCTCATCACACCATCTTTGTGTTTTGTTTTTGGTGGAGGGCCCAGGACACTCGAAGGCTCTATTGTACACTGTATTACGAAGTGTGTTCCATGCTGCTTCCACGTCGTGGTCATCCAGCAGGGTGGAATACATGCGTTCTTCCAGGGTTTCAGCAAAGTACTGAGAGGTGGAAGGCAACTTGAGCTTACCAACGTGGAGGTGTTTTGAAGCCTATAGTCCTCTGAGGACTTATCCTGAGTTTGATCCGGAAGTTGAGAGGTGAAGTTTAGAGACTGTGCGACGATGATCAGTCCAGCATTCCGTGCCGAACATAGTCTTGGTGAACAAAGGAACTGTCTGTTTGTCAGTTTCCTTCTTCCTGACAATGACGTAGTCCTGATCTTTGTTTTCTTCTGGTTCTCTTTGTTATTTCAACCGCATGTGTAGGGTCCCCATCAGCCACGGTAAACTGGCTAGGGAAGGGTGGAGCAGGCAACATTTGGGATACCTTTTCTAATCCGCTCCTCTTACCATGGAGGTGAGCAGTGTGTTCCTAAAGAGGGCTGCTCAGTTGCACAGGTGGCTTCCAAACTCCAACGCTGCTCCGGTCGGTAAAGGTGAAGAACGGCCGTATTGCCTGTGCCGCCTGTGTGCAGGTCCGCGACTACCGACTTCCAGTGAGACCCGCAACTGTCACATTCGTCGCTCACCTGTTGCCAAAGGGTTTTGGGTGGATGATAGAAGGGATGGAAGATGATCAATGACTTGCGAGATGAGTTTGATTAAAATAAAGAAGGGTTGCGTGTCGCCGACCTCTCTCGCCTGCTTCTATCTAGAGATTGAAACAGATACAGCGGATGACCAAGACGTTATATGTGCCTTGCCTTGCTCCAAGCATTCCACGGTGCTTGCTGTGTCCGCCATCTTCGTTGAACCAGTTGAAACGGTTTCCTCCGCAGAGTCTGCCGGTGCACAGTCTTCACATGCGTTATAGGTGGGCAATCCCTCAATCTACAGGGGTTTGAGACCCGTCAGTGCTTTGTGTAGAGAGTGCTCTCTTAGAGGGATCTCCCTTAAGAGTGTACGGGTTCCCTTTACCCGGACTAGTGGAGGGAAAGGACGTCAGGCCATTGCAGGTCATGAGACACAGCCAACTGCCCACAAAGCACATATATGATTGTGCACATATGTTGCTTAATTTTGCTTAATTTTAATGTCAAAAATATATAATATATTACACCTTTAACTTAGATGAACACACAAGTTCCATTATCACCATGGTTTAGCATGAGATTAAATTAAGAAAACATTTTACGTAAAGGCTCTACTCGAGATCTGACATATACACAATATCTTTGTTAAGTAAGCAAGGAATATACGCACAGGATAAATCCAGGGAATTTTCCTTCAATTTTCATTTTTAGGATAGGGATACAAATTTACTATTAAATCAAGTTATATATATTTGTTACGGAAATAGTGTTTTGAAATCCTAAAACGTCAGGAAAATTCTTTAAATAAAATCATCATGCAATATGTTTTTGATGTGATAATTATCACAGTAGTAATTTCTTTCCTTTGATCAAAATTTCAAAATAGCGTACTCCACTTTTATGATCAAGGGAAGAATTATATTCCTATATAATTTAGACGGCTCATTACAGAGCCAATATTGAATAATAAATGAACAGAATTATAATATAGTCTGCATTTAAAAGAATTTTCAAGAAAATATAATCCGAAAAAAGATAGAAATTGCGTATTAAAAAACCAACCTCCTTCTTTCAAAGACATATCTGTGAGAAAGAACAAGTTGGGTTGGTGTATATAAACAGTTGATACACCATTAAAGCCACAATCAATTGAATGCTATCATACATTTTCTGAAGGTAAAGATGTATGTCTTTCAAAAAATAACTATGAAAATTATTCACCCGAGATGGTACCGAAACCGAAAAATTCATGGCCTGGCTCATGGACTATAGTACCAACCTAGAATATTTTTGTAAAATTCAAACCAAAGCTCCGACTAAAAACTTTAAAAATATGTCTGGAAAGTTTTACGGCAAAACTTAAACAAGAGGCCCATGGGCCCCATCGCTCACCTGAGTTGTTGTGTCCATGCTGTTTTTTTTTTTTTTTTTCCAAATTTCCTACTTATAATACCTTTAGTGACCCCACTCTACCCCAAAGATCATAATTTGGACAATCGAAAATCTACACTACCCCAGGATGCTTTCGCCTAAGTTTCAGGTTTTCTATCCCACTAGTTCCTGATAAGATTTTTAAAGGTTTTCCTATAGTCAAATGTATAACTTTGATTTCAAATTGTGGCCCCGCCCTACCCCGGGGAGTCATGATTTGAATAATTTTGAATCTACACTTCCAAAGAACGTTTTCACAAAAGTTTCAGCTATTCTGGCAAACTAGTCCTTCAACTTTAGAGAAGATTAAAAAAAAAATTAATATTTAAATGGAAAACTTGAGTTCCCTATAGTGGCTCCGCCCTACCCCCGGAGGACATGATTTAAAAAATACCCCAAAGTGCTTCCACATAAGTTTTTTCTGGCCTAGTGGTTCTTGAGAAGATTTTTAATGTTTTTTCTAGTGTTTTTCTATATTAAACTTTGATTCCCAATTGCAACCCCACCCAGGCCTGGGTTTTAGAATGTTCACTACCCTAAGATGTTTCCACATGAGTTTTAGCTATTCTGGCCCAGTTACATATTACATTCAGTTAACATATTTCTATGTAAAACTTTGATTCCCTATTGTGTCCCTGTCCAACCCCCGGGGGTCATGATTTGAACAATTGAGAATTTTACACTACCCAAGGATGCTTCCATATAAGTTTTAACTTTTCTGGCACAGTGGTTCTTGACATATTTATGACCCACCTTTTTTGTCTCTTCTTGATTATTTCCCCTTGTGAGGGGACTTGGTTCTTTATTTAAACAATTTAAAATCCCCTTCACCCAAGGATGCTTTGATTAGAATTTGCACAATAAATCCTTGAAACATTGCGTTTGATCCAGAAACATGATTGTTTTCAAAATTTCTTTGTGCACTCCATCACGTTACTTTGATATTAAAGTCAAATTGCGAACCCTTCTTTCCCAGAATTTTTTTTTCCCAGAATAACATACCAGCCTGCCTCTCTAGATTATCTTGCACACAAAGATGAACAAAATTACTTCACTGACATTAATATAGAACATAAAGCAACTAAAGGATACTTTTTTATTGCAGGGGATCCACTGAAGTGTAAATACATAAAATATTCAGTTTATTGTGAAATCGTGAATAGAAATGAAAATCATTGAGCAATAAAATGCCAGTTATAGTCAGTAACACTCTCATTTACACACACCTGTATCCATAAATATTATTAATATACAAAAAACACACATATATTTCCATGATGGAGTGGACTTGCCATACAATGCCTGTTGCCAAATTGTGAACAAATAATTTGACACACTGTACACATTTTTATTAATTATATTATACATCAGCAACTCTCGTTTCTTTTCTTCCAAACCCTCAGCAAATATATAAAATCACACAGGGATTTAAAAGAGAATTGCTTTTTTAAGCATTCCATTATTTATATACAGGCTTTGTTTTAAACATTTCATATCTCCCATTGAATGAGACTTGCATACAAAATATATTATTAATCACTGAATGCCACTCATGAAGTGATTATAATGAAATAATGATTTTAACAATATGGAATGTTAGAATCTGATGAAACATACATAATTCTAATTAATCAAATACATCTCAATACCTGAAAACATTAGCTCTCCAAGAAATAGAATATATACATACTGTTACGTCTAATTTCTGTAAGCAATAAATAAACACTCTCACTAAATTATATAATTCACGACCATCAATAACTGCCACATTTTCACGAAAACATCCTTAAATTTTTCCGCCAAAACATAGCTGAAAAATTGCCAACTTTGCATAAAACAATATTCAATCAATCATTAATTATCATTGAGAAATGAGACAATCACACACATAAATAGTTGTCTTAATAATTAAAAGAATATCAATGATTCAAACTATGTACAGTAAAACCTGTCTGATCAGATACTTATATAAATCATCCAACTGTGATTTCTGACCTTAATTTAATTTCCCATTGTATTGTTTCTTTTCGTATTTCAAAAACTATTCAAAATGTTCAACTTATTAAAAATTACCAAAAAAGCTATAATTTGCAAAAGCTTTAATTTACACATGATATGTAGGTTTAAGGCTTCATATATTGCACAAGGAATATTCAAAGGCAGAAGAAGGATGCAAAACTAAACACATATAATTTTCAGACATAAATAAAACCAGTTTTTCAAAACTTTTTTAAAATTCAGCTTATGACAAATTACTCCGTAAAAACTATAATTTGCAACAGCTTTAATTTACACATGATATGTTGGTTTAAGGCTTCGTATATTGCACAAGGAATATTCACAGGTAGAAAAAGGATGCAAATCACACACATGATGTTCAGACAAAAACAAAATCGTTAACAGTACATTTTTATGGAAATCATAGAGAATTAAATCATGCATGCATATATAAAGGAATTCATGTTATTTGGATGACAGATGCTTAAACTGACAAAAGAAACATTTTATCAATATCCAGGATATTCAATTAAAATAGACATATATTTCATTTTTCGCCAAAATCAAACTTAGTCATTCTCATTTTCAAATATTTATGATCATAACAAATGTATTTCTGATGATATGCATACATTCAATAACCAACATCTATGATCTTAATTAACAATATCTTCATTACCAAAATCTTCATTGCACTAAACCCAAGTCTAGCATCTCATAAAACTTGGTATAAATTAAAGATTTCATCTTTCTATCTTCACTTCAAACTTCTACACCAGCCCTGCTACACACACTTCAGACCAGCAGTGTTTCCTTGAGAACTCTAAAGTAGGTTCATATCTCAGACAGCTTTGTGCAAAATAAAAATCACTTTTTATCACAATTGATTATCACCATGGGGTTTTACTTCATCCAGAAATTATAGCAGCCATCAGAAATTATAGCTGCCATCACCACTTGACCTTGAAACTGTAGATTTCCATTGGGTTCAAGGTCAGGTCACTGTCCAGTGATGTGGGACCTTTATCATGGAGCAAGGTCAAGGACGTTCTCCGGATCTCTCTTACTCCCAAAGCCTCATTGAACAGTTCTCGTAAACGGACCTGAAAAGAAATAAATCAAAGTACTGAGAGTACTCACAGGTAATTAATTATCACTGACAAACACAAAGGATTTCTCTCATTAGATATAGAAAATGAATCTGAAGAGCCTCAACAATCAATTTTTTTTTCTTTTCTCACTTTAATCATAATATACAAACTGATTGTTGCATTGAATTGTTATTTTTTTCAAACAAATATTAGTTCATTCATCTTCCAAATGTAGGACCCTTAGCAATAACTACACTAATGCCACTGATGGTAGAGTTAAATTTGGAAGGTTTGCTTGAATTCAGTAAAGATCAAATAAAGACTAAAATGTCCTATTTTTATCCCATACAGAAATCTGAACAGTGAATCCTATCCTGCCTCAGTTATATGATTGATTGTATACTGTTTATATGATAAGATATCACCATTGCTGGTGAAGGGCAATTTTATATTACATACAGAAATCTGCCACACCTGCTGTGACACGGGGCCTCGCTTTAAACAGTGAATCCTAGTCCCTTTTGCCTCAGGTATAAGAACAGGTATAAGAACATTGTATACAAGAGATACTGCCCCTGTCAAATGAATAAAGACCTGAGTTACTTACCCTGCCTTGTGTATATGAACACTGTAAGTCTGTGTTAGGTATCCCACAATCCACTCCTATTCTGTGTAACAGCAGGGCTGAGTCATCACCTCGCGTGATTGCTCCATCATAAGTCTTCTGTAGAGAGCGTAGGTTAAGTAGGTGTACGTCACAAGGTAAAGGCGAGGACAGGAAGGAATGCTGGGATAGCAATGCCGGAACACTCACTGAAGACTTCTGGGGGAGTATGCTGATTTTATGGTTTAGCTGTAGATAACTCAGGTGAGCTTCTAGTGATGGAAATCCCATTAATTTATCCTTCACCTGTAAAAATCAAAGTACTGAAAGTATTGAATCGAGGTGAGTCTCTAGATAGGGGAATATCATAAGTTTATCATTAACCTGTAAAAATCAAAGTACTGAAAGTATTGAATGGAGGTGAGCTTCTAGTGAGGGGATTCCCATTAATATATCCTTCATATGTAAAAACGAAAGAGCAGTTCAATGTAGACATCTTGTACAGTGGATTGTACCATCACATAAACTGTTAATAGTTCTAATAAACATTTTGAACAGTAAACATTTTCAAATTGTTGTCATCACAAGTAATAAAAGATTTGCCAGTTAGGACAACATTCATGTCGAATAGACTGCATTGTAAATAATTCAGTATACCTATATATACTTATCTATACCTATAAATACTTATCTATACCTATATATACTTACAGGAGGGGAGCTTCGTTTCTCTATCAGAATTCTAAATCTGTTAGGGGTGGGTCTATTGTCCCTGACACCTTGTCCCATGCCACGCATGTCGTCCTGATTCAGCGTCCGGTCCAACATCACCTGGATCTCACCTGTCAGAATATAAGAACTCATGTTTACATCACCTGTCAGAAAAAAAATCAATGTTTACATCACCTGTCAGAAAAAAAATCAATGTTTACATCACCTGTCAGAAAAAAAATCAATGTTTACAACAGAAAAAAAAAAGAAGAATGCGGTGTCAGAAAAACTTTGTCAATGAAAGTCATCAAATATCCCTGTGAAAAAAAAATCAATGTTTACATCACCTGTCAGAAAATAAAATCAATGTTTACATCACCTGTAATTAATCAAGAAATCATTTCAGAATATTAAAACCTGTGTAAACAACGCACTGAAGAAATCTTGGACAAACATTTGTAGCCTTTCTGTACATAATGAATACACAATATTCAGTGTAACATGATGTGTTTGTGAAACACTTTGTGACTGGTGGCCGCAAAGTTAGAAAATATTTAATAAATCAAGAAATCATGTCTACAATGCACTGAAGAGATTCAGGACAAACATTTGTAGCCTGTCTGTGAACAATGAGAGTACCATATTCAGTGTAAATATTTGTTATTAAAGCCTTTAATACAGGCAAATCTTATCTCAATCTTGATGGGACAAAAAAAAACTTCAACATATCCTAAGATTTGAGGTACAGAGGTAATGAAGACAGAGTTTCATTATGCTAAATCAACATATCAATTGTATTCGAAATTTCTGTGTCAGAGATTAGGAACTGTACATTTGTTTGATTTTTTTCTGGATACTGAATGTCCACTAGTTTTATGACATACCATGGTTTTTAGTTAATAGTTATGTGGTATTAATATTACGCGGAAACAAAGAAATGATTTGTACCAAGTAAATTTAAATTCTGTATATTACAGCCTTGAAAAAGAACAAACAGAAATTTTGCTAAAATTTTAGTGTACATATATCGTGTGTAAATTCTGTACAGAGACTGCTATGGAGATTCTAAAGCTGGCGCTGTAGTGGTTGTGTATGACATGGTTAACCTCTGTTTACACTGCTACTTCCTGTGTACCTGTAGCTTGATCGAGACTTGTTTACAAACAATTAATTTGGGTACATAGGAAAAAAAATCATTATCCAGGTCCAATCAAGGGTGTACAGGGATTTACCCTGGGTTGTATTCCATACACCCTTCAGCCTCAGGTTGTATAGAATACAACTAGGGGTAAATCTCCATACACCCTTGATTGGACCTGGATAACCAATAGTGTCACCTAGTGACTAAGTAATGAGAACACTGTACTCTACCTTTCTGTAGACTGGCGACTCCCAGTGACTGAGCAGTAAGGACAGTGAAGCGAGTTTTATCATCCTCTATGTAGGCCATGGCTGGCATCGGGTAAACATTGGCTTGTATGGGAAGTTTATCAAATGTCTTGCGTTTTATCATCTGTTGGTACAAAAAGTAACATTTCTTTATTTTGAACATATTTCATGGACAATAATGATAAAACAGTGGGTAGAACACAAGCTCCATTAACTGAGGTAGTCCTCTCTTAAATTTTTTAACACCACCTGTTTAACCTGATATACTGTTTAATCTGATATATGGTTTAATATGATATACTGTATAATCTGATATACTGTTTAATATGATAATTTTTTTATCACCACCATTACTTTACATGATTATTTGGTGAATTTTTAAAAAAAAAATTAAAAATAGACAAAATCATAGAGCCCCCAAAAAGAAAATATTTCGATCTGCATTAACTTGTACAAAAATCATTTAACTGATCAAAACACGACTGAATCTTAATTCTAAGCATAAAAAAAACCCTCAACATTACATTCATGCTTGGTATGCAGGAAAAATTTAATCATGAAAGCTACTGATTTTGACTAATGTGAAGCTCATTTAAACATGGCATAAATAAATTTAACCTTGGTGGACTGCCAGGGTTAGGGTTAGGGTTAGGGTTAATTACCTCTACATTCATGTCTGGTTTAGTGCCAAGTTTACCTGGAAGCCATTCAGGTCTGTGTATAATTCTTGTTCCGAGTTCTGGACGTCCGTGACAATCTTCATAGACAACTCATAGTTCACTTCATTTCTGATGTCCACCAGATTAAACACGTCCAGACTTCTTCCATCAAGGCCTACATAATAATATATCATATAAAACAGTATATCAGATTTAACTGTATATTCTATTAAACAGTATATCAGATTAAACATGTTCTACTTTCTACCATCAATGCCTATATAATGATATACCATATAAACTACCATCAAGACCTACATATTTATATATCATTTAAATATAGGATCTCACATGTTTTGTATTTGGCTATGACTTTTATCCAACAAGTTGTGTGTTTTATATCCCTGAGACGTGGAGAGAGGATAAAAACACACGAGTTGGATAAAAATCATATCCAACTACAAATCATGTGTTTTACATTTTGTTTTAAACGCCACAATCAATGTTTTACACAGTTTTTGTATTGAATTCCACTTTATTTTACTTCATATTTAGCTAACACAAACCCATTGTGAAGTTACTACTGTGGGACATGAAGATGATATCACATGAGATATATCAATGGGATAAGGAGTTAATCATGGGATAAAACAGTTTATTATACCTCTGTGAATTTGTTCTATATAAAAATATGACAAATAAACATGCTATCTTTTCCAAACAGCCCCTACCGTGAAATAGTTTTTGTGCTATCTGCCCATGGTGAAATAGTCGTCAAACTATTCATCGGCAACATTCTGTTTCCCTTGCTTTTCATCTTGGAAAACTTCTGATTTTATACGGATTGTGACGTATATATCATGACGTAACAAAAGTAAAGTCAGCATCAGTATAATAAAACACCTATTTATAGACTAGGCCATAAAAAATAAATTGCTAGATTCTCATCCAAATTTTTTTAAATTCCGGGCGGGCAGGCAGCTTTTATTTTATATTTTTTTAAAATTTTGCTGATTTCTTATTGACCGGGTCAATTGGTGTAATTTCATCTACAATACCTAAATAAAAGTCATAGTAAAGGTTCAATTATTTCTTACTTCACATCATCACCAATCTTTTTCAACCAATGACCCTTGTTTAAAATATATACGCATGTATTACAGCAATTACCATCTCTTTAGCTCTCAAAATCATTTCATTAATTCAAATTTAATTAAAACAAAGTAGAATGGTAGATGAATACCGATCCTGATCAGAATTTAAACGAAGAAAAATAAATAAAAAAAATTGAGGCAGGGGTATAAAATCGGGGCGGGTGGGGATGAGAATCTAGGAATATTTTTATTATGGCCCTATTCCAACAATAGCAAGTTTATCCCCCTCGACAGCAAACTATTTCCCTGTCTGCTGTCTTGGGAGTACATAGGTGTATAATATCAGTTTAAACAGTATACTGTAAACCAACTTTTATTAGCGACGACTTTATTTCGCAATTTATAGAGGGTAAACTAGTTCCAGATGATTAAGTTTCGCGATCAAGCCTTTCTGGATCAGTTGTTAATAGACACCGAGACCTTAAGAATCCGTTAGAAGGGGAAAATATTCGCGATGACGAGGCGAAGCCCTCAGGGAATATGATTTTTCTCGGCTGAATAAGTCTTCATATTTCCCTCACTATCATGCAATAAATGTAGAATAGCTAATCATCCTTACTGTATGAAAGACTGGTTTTGTTAGTAAGATACAAGTGGTGCATTTACTGAAGCATGATCTCCTATCATTCAAAAAAATGAAGTATAATTGTGGTTTAATAAAAAAATAAAAATTATACTCTTCTGACCCACACTGACATGTTTCTGATTTCAATACGATCTAGGGAACACAGGTACTTAATAATAATATATAACCAATCAAATAGCTTGTTACAACCAACATTATATAAAATACTGTGGTATTGTGGATTCTGACAACATACTATACGTTACTGATAAAGACGGACACGTCACCTTGGACACGATGATGTGTGATAACAACTTGTGTTGCTGTTATTATAACTACCTGTGTTGCTGTGATAATTACCTGTGGTGTTGTGGATTCTGATGAAATGTTGTAGGTGGCTTATAAAGACGGATACCTCTGACATGATGATGTGTAATAATTACCTGTGTTGCTGGGCTAATTACCTGTGTTGCTGTGTGTTTATTACCTGTGTTGCTGTGTGTTTATTACCTGTGTTGCTGTGTGTTTATTACCTGTGTTGCTGTGTGTTTATTACCTGTGTTGCTGTGTGTTTATTACCTGTTGTGTTGTGGAGTCTGATGACATGTTGTACATGACTGATAAAGACGGACACTTCTGACACGATGGGACCCGACACAACTCTTATTACAGGATGACTGACTCGGACAGGCTAAAATAAGTCACAGTGTACTTAAATCATAAGTTCGATAGGTTATAAATAAGTCATATTCAGTTTAAGTCATAAGTCAAACTCAAAGAGGCTGGAAAAGTTGGCGAGTTTATTTATTTTGTGAAATTCTATTTTTACCTTTGCCGGTCCATCGGGTAAGAACAGATAAGCACCGCTGCGCTCCTTTCCTGAGCGGGCTCCGTAAGTCTGGAAGCTGACCTCTGACCTGTGAGTATCACCCGTGGATTTTGTTGTTACTGTCTGCAATCATAGAAACTCAACTAATCCAAGACTCAGTAACACAAATACCACAGAAATTCAAGTCGTAAAACTAAATCATCTATTTTCAGTTGTTCTGTATTAAATTGTAGCCCCCACTCGTTATCCACCCCCTTTATATAATATGAAATCAATTATATTAAAAGCAATGCATTTTACAAAATAATCTGTGTTAAAATCATAATCATAATGAATCACTTGAATAATCTCAGAAAACTGTGCTTGTATGTATAAGTCAGATTTTAGTTAAATGTTAACATTGTATTTAATATATTAATTGTTTGTATTCGACAGATTTTTACTTAATGTGATTTGTGCTTTAATTATATTAAAACAGAATAAAGATACCCCCAGTTGCTTGTATTTGACTGATTTTTCTTTCTCAGACTGTGATTTGTGCTTTAATTATATTAAAACAGAATAAAGATACCCTCAGTTGTTTGTATTTGAATGATTTTTCTTTCTGTGATTTGTGATTAATTATATTAAAACAGAGTAAAGATACCCTCAGCAGACCAGAGGTTCCAGAGAACGTCGCCTTCAGAAACAAGTTTTCAAGGCTGAACTCCACAGAACTTTTCCTTTCTACTATAAACGCAGAGCTGAAAAAAATACCAGTAACATTACAGACTTTAAAAAAACAAAGTTCAGTTGTACTATGCAGATATTATAAATCTATTGAAATTAATTACAAAAGATGCTCCATTAGTTCAATTTTGAGCCCTGATCACAGCAAACATTTTTAGAGATTTTTAATCTGGCCTGGGGGGCATAAAACTTAGACAAGCTCAGTTGTTATCTAGTCTCACTTCTCCACTATATATTTCTTTGGTAAAAAATGACACTGAAATCTAAGTGAGCTTGTCTAAGTTTTATGGCCCCCAGGCCAAATCAAAGTAGTAACCTTTTCTTATCTTCATTCTTTAACATATTCAAAAATCCTGCAGGTTATTAAATATTCCTTTTAACTCTTTTACCGGCATTTATTGGTCACTGCCAAGAGAACATTGGTTTACTTTACAGAATTTAAGACAGACCAGACTTAAATTTAGGCTTTCTCAAATGGGACTTAAAATTTCGACTAACTCCAGGGCTCTCACATCACTTTTTGGGACTGGGGCCAGGGCAGTTCAAATTGGGAAAATTATCGTCATTTTAGGAAAAGTTGGATGACACAAATTCATTAAAAAAATCCTAAAAGAGTTTAATCCACGAACCATAAAATATGGCCTCATCCCCAAAATTAACATGATTTTTATTATCGATAGTGTAGACTTTAAGCTTTTCATAACCGTTTTTCTTTTTTCGATATCTATTTTACTTTTTCAAAACGAGATCTTGCAATATGGTATTGTTTTGATGGAAAAATGCATTATGAACGTCATTTTTTTGTAATATAACGTCACGTAAAAAGGCGATAGAGATGACTGTAGGATTATAATGCACCTATTTATTAAAGGTGCTTAGACACATAATTGAAGCAATTTTTTTTACTCAAATGTTCTGTTTAAGTCTCAACTTATTATCGAATTGTTTCAAGAGTGAAGAATTCTTATTAGCCAAAGGCGTAAGATTGATACGTCGCCGTTGTTTTATGAAGAACTAATTCTTTATAATCACATCTGGGCGTCATTTTGTTTACAACAAATGCTTGAAAATCACAGTAGCACAATGTCGGCAGTTCTGATAAAAACTGATTTTGATGAAACTGTACATGTATTTTAAAAAACCTGGTTAACAATAAAAAAAAATATTTGAATTATCATCTTATTTAAAAAATCATTTTAGTCGGCGCGATTAAATTTGGTAGGTCGCGTTATAGGGGAAACAAAGGTATTTTTTTTATTTTGGCCTCGGCAAAAAATCACAATTTTCAGATCATGTAAAAAATTCCATGTTCGCAGGTATTTTAAAGCATAATTTTTAAAAGCTAGAAAATGCACTTTTATAGGCTTTTCACAGGTCCGATCAACGTATTTAGGGGGGAAATCGATCAAAAGGAAAAGGGCATTAAAAATATTTTGAAGTGAATTATCATTTACATGTATCTTACTACACAGAGAGAGTTCGTGAAACCAAAAAAAAAAACAAACAAACAAACAAACAAACAAAAAATAAAATAAAAATACACGAGTGAATTTTAAGAATTATTGAATTTCTATACGAAGAAGATCATATTAACTTGTTTGGCATGAATAAACAGGATTTTGCTCAAACTGAAAGCTATATCAATGCAATCGCTCTGTTTACAGATTCCACTGTGTCTTAGCGAATTTATAGTGAGCCATTTCAAATATAACTCGTAAGTTTAGTGGAATAACCTGTCATATAATTTAATCAAGAATCTATGCTTATATTTTGCCGGTCTCTAGCACGAAACAAGATCGAGTGGTTTTATGGGTCAGTTATTAATTTTTTTCACTTAAGACACCCCGCTTTCTCATTCAAATAATACAATTACCTCCATAGCTGTAATGGCTAAGCCGGGATTTTACAGTGAAATATACGATTTTATTATTTCAATATAATGTATATATTGAAAGTCTCTTTCCCAAAAAATCTCTTATGAGTATTTATACAGACTATGCTTTACGACTTTAGCTATAAAATGACAATGTTATGATTTGAAAAGGTAAAATTCTGCATTTAAAAAAAGTGCGAGAAAGCAGAGTTATATGAAGATTCATTCTTTGACACCCCCCCCCCCCAACACACTTGGTGAGAAACAATCTCCGTAGCAGATCAAGTGGGAGTTCAGATTTCAGAGTATAATTAAAAGCAAAGTAAAAAATACCATACCAGCGCACCCAAAAGATACACAGGTCCTCTGCATTTGGTAAGAAGAATAGTGTATATATACTAGGGATGACAATTTGTAACCGGTTAATCGATTAATCGGTCGGAACGATGCTAACCCGTTAGAAAATCCGTACTAATTAATTAGTCGGAAAAATTAGAATATATGTAAATTTGAACGCAGTTTCCTTAAAATCCCTTCTGCTTTTTTTTTTTAAGAAAGGAAAGTGCTGCATTGATTTTTATTTAGGGTTTTTACACCATATTTTGAGGTAATTATAGCTCTCCAGATAGAGATCGCAGTGTAATTGGTAAAGTGTTATTTACTGTTTATATAACATCAAGCCGTTACCCAGATAGTTCTGTGTTGTTTTTTTACGATATTAAAAACATCGCCACCGCTAAGCACTTTTAATTACAGTATGTCTATATTTTGCCGTTATCTATTAAGTTATGTTGATATTATAAAGAACGTTGTAAATTGTAAATAAATTGAAAGTTCAGACATAGACTAGTTCCGATCATGGTATTAACGCAGAATTAACTTCTTTAACAATTGCATTGGAAAATTATCCCTTTCTGATTTCTCAAGCAAGATTCATGATTTTCTTAATTTTTTCTTGTCTATTGAAATTGAAATAGAATATACTCTTATGTACATTAAATACCCCGATCAAAATAATAAACAGAATGTAACTTCTATCCTCCTTTTAGCCTTTTTGTGTATATGAAAAGAAAGTGTCAATTGATATGTATATATCTTGATGCGACTAACTGCATGGTTAATACATGTAGGTCAGAATGTTTTGCAGTTAACCGATTAGCAAATCTGCAATCGATTGCAATCGCTAATATATTCACATGTAAAGTTAACCCCCCCCCCCCCCCCCCCCCATCCGATTGGGTTAATCGATTTAAAGCCTTTTCCTTGTCAATGAATTTAAGTTTGATTTTTGGAAAGGGTACTTTAAACATTTTATTTTAATTGATAATACAACAAGTGGACATGACTCCCCTACACCACACCACTTTGAAAAAAAATTATAGTTCCATAATATTGACTTGAATCAGTATTTTTTTTACTGAAGTGTCTCGACCATACTGCAAAAAATGAATGAAGAAATAAAGAAAGATAGGATGAAAGACTCTTTTAAGACCCCCCCCCCCCCCACACACACACACATGCTTCAATTTGTGTTCTTTCTTAATTATCAAAGTGTATTACTTTTTTAGCTTATTTTTATTTCTTGACTCCAAGCACCGTCTTTAGGGGGAAAGCGATGTTTCTAGTAATTACTACAGTGACATATAGAAAAATGTATTAAAATTAAAATAAATTATGCAATTTGATTCTGGAATCATATTTAAAGTATGTCGCATAAACGACAGTAAGTGTATCAAGATTTATACTTTCGACGTAAATAAAAGATATATCAGATAGGCCTATACTTATACTTTTTTTTTCAGATAAGAAGCCAGACAAGTATCTTTCGTTTGAAAAGGATGATACAGTAACTGCGCGTTTTGTACAAATTCATATACAGTTCGATAAGGGGATTCGTCAAAAACATATTGTGTGTTATATGCGTCCTCACATGAGTTCTATTTAGGATGCAGTTTACAGAAAACCCAAATGTTTGATTTTTTTAATGATTTTTTTTTTCAAGAATTTTACTCATTTCTTCTTCTTTTTTTCAAAAGGGCATTTTATTAAAGACAGCGAGCTACCCAATACGTCCATAAAAGCATTTATTTAACATTTTTTAAAATAAAAAAGTGAAACCTCACTTTACATCTTTTATGACGTCACAAATGACGTATAATAATCAGTAACGTCACATTTATGTGTACATGATCATAGTATTTTTTTCCCACTATTAATTATCGTCTGATACATGTGGGATAGAAATGTGTTGTTCTTTTACTCTTATCAATATAATACCCCCTTGTTCGATGCATTTAATTTATGTAAAACACATGGAAATGTATGATGGTTTGTAGTCATAGCTCTTTCACAGACAATGATTTCTTCTTTTTTCAATAGGGGCGCACACCTTACGGGTAAATATTTTCATTGGAAAATATCTCTCGCATAGTGATTGTTATTTTTCTGGTTTAATATTTTGCCGTAACGAATGTGCTCTATGTGTAAATCACGATTAACTGTCCTATTTTCGGCATTTTCCCGGAAAACTTCGAACCATTGTTAGGTTTAGATTTTAATTTGATATCCCAAACATCCGGTATTGACAGAAATGATGCACATGTAAACTGTATCAATGGTCTAAGGTAAGATTCACCAGAAATATTGATTTTATAGCCCTCTTAAAATTTTTCATATTTGCTAGGCCATATGAGGCACTTTGTGGGTCGAGTTCTTTTGCTTTTCTAGCATTTTGTCATCAATGTTAACTCTTGTTTTGAATAAACAGTTAAACAGAACAAACATGGGTACGTGGGCTATTTATGAAAGTACATTAGCTTTTTCATTACTATCTTTGAGTGTTGATATTACGGTTATATGTCTTTCTGAGTGACAGTCGCTGGTCACATAGTCCCGAATTTCCTCGATCACATGGACAACTTTGCTTACCAATACAGCGCGAGACTGAACATCCCAAAGCGCGGGTATGTTTCTAGGTGCAGCTTACTAATGTTGAAATGAAATGTCTATTTTTGAAACCAAAATGATGTTTTTTGTCGAAACTACATGACAAGATACTCTGCACTCATAGTTGGTACACATTTTTGTACAAACAATAACCTGGTTCCCGGAACCAGTTTCCGAATGCATTTGGCGTGAACTAATAAAATATTAGTAGTACAGTTTCACTTTCATTTGCAAGTGTGTTTTGTTTGTTTGTTTGTTTTTTTTTTGTGATTAAGATTGATGGACTTTTATTTTTTAATTAATATTTTGCTATAGATGGAAATTGGGAAATTTACACCTTTCTTTTGGGAAAAAAGATACCTTTTTTGCATTGGGAACGGGGCCGAATATTAGCCCCAGATTTAGAGAATCGAGAGCCCTGAACTCAGATGAGACTTGAAATTTAAAGTAACTCAGGAAAGAATTAACACTTTTACTTACTCAGATGGGACTTAAAATTTTGACTAACTCAGAAGAGATTAAAAATTTTGACTAACTCAGATGGGACTTAAAAATTTAGACTATCTCAGATGAAACTGAAAATTTTGACTAACTCAGATGGGAATAAAAATTTAGACTAATTCAAATTGGACTCTAAATTTAGACAAATTAAGATGGGAACTAAAAATTTAGACTTAATCAGATGGGACTTAAAATTTTGACTAACTCAGATAAGACTTAAAATTTAGACTTACTTAGATAGAACTTAAAATCTAGACTTACTTAGATGGGGCTTAAATTGAGAATAGTGTAACTTACCCATAGGAGGGTTCCCCACTGTTGTAGAATGTGACTTTACTGTGACTGTTATGAGAGCTGTGTTCCTTCTGTGTGACCTGATACCGAGCGATTCCTAGAGCGGGGACATCAGCAACGAAGGACAGCTATAAAACAGACATTACAAACATCATACAGAGATCTGGTACCGAGCGATTCCTAGAGCAGGGACCTCAGCAACCAAAGACAGCTATAAAACAGACATTACATATATCAGCAACAAAGGACAACTATAAAACAGCTACAAATATCATACAGATGTGAATTGTGATTTTGTCAATGAAAATTAAAACACTACTAAAATTGCAAGATGTTGTATACTTTTAAACAGCAAGTTAATATACATGTTCATGTATGTAGAGAGTTTCAAGACTGAATATTAAACGTTTAACATTGTTCAACTAGGGGTTATATTTTTAGTTTAACATCTCATGTTCTTTTAAAAAACATCAATTTAAAATCGTCATGATTAAAACTGATATTGATTGACAGTTACCTTTATTTTTAAACACAATCTTTACAGTAGATTCCTTATTTTTCGCGGGTAATTTGCATTGCAATTGGCTTTTCAACATCGAAGTGTGCGAGAATAATAATTGTCGAACGGACATTTGATCAAGAGATTTTACATAGATTTCAAAACCTTATAAATAAAAGTTATTTTATTTCCCGATTAGTGTGTCCAAGGAAATTACACGATTATTAAGGAATCCACAGGATACAGTATTTCATCCCACCCCTGGGGATACAACATCTAAATGAAGTCTACCTTGAATCGCCTTTCAGACATGGTGGTGGGTTCTTTCCAGTAGGGGTCAGTCTGGGAGGAGATGACCTTTCCGCGGGGGTCAATGACCTCTACATTAGGGTCACTAACGTGGAGATTGACCACTTCCTGTCTGGGGTGGGCCAGAGAATTGTACAAAATCACAGAACTGTTCACAGAACAGGTGGTTTTTTACAGTTTAACATCTATGTTCTTTTAAAAACAGTGTTCAAATTAAAATCATCATGATTAAAACACAGGTGTATGTTGACATGTATTTTTATAACACAATCTTTTATGTTTATTTCCACTTTTTAATAGGTACTTTTTATTGCAAATGCTTTTACAATTGTCCAAAAGCAATGAAAATAATTGTCCAACAGAAGTTTGGGAAACAGTTGAAAACATTAATATTTTTTCAAAACCGTATAAAAAAAGTAATTTTATTTCCCGATTGGTGTGTCTCACAAAATTACATGATTACTATATATAACAGGATATATTTTGCATATTACTAAGAATAACAACAGGCCTACGGGCATCAAGGTCACCTTGACTGTGTAACAACTTCAAACAATTGGTGGGTTCTGTCCAATAGGGGCCATGAAATTCACAATTTACAATTTTGAGAGAGGCACCAGTTATCATAATTATTAACTTAGCAGATTACCACTTCCTAATCAGGGGTAGATCAGAGAATTGTACAAAATCACAGAACTGAAAAAAAACACAAGAAACATGTTACAGATGTGTGATATACATAAAAGTTAAGGATATTTGAGTTAGATGTATGTTACAGATGGGCAGTGTGTAATCATATGATTTTATATACATTTGTGAATATCTCTCCACTATATCCCGGTCCAGTGCGCACTTGAAGTTAGCGGCCACTGCCCAGAAAGCAGTAGCTCACATAAATATATATAACATGCACGCAATAAAACCCAGAAGCATAAGAAAACAAATATTTTCAGATTCTAATGTATTTTTCAGAGGTTAATACATGACCTAATCACACATTAATCTCTACCTATACATATATTATAAAGTAATAAACTGACTTCCTATACTTGTTTTCATGTATAAAAATGAACAAAATTAGCAAGTAAAATAATTCTTATTTTATTTACAATGTAAACAAGTTTTTCATACGTTTTTTAATTTTTTTTGCCTATCGATCTAACCTGCGTACTTAGAAAACCCATACATAGGTTAATAACGAGCCTAACATTTGTTTACAAGTTCTATATCACTTATGTCAGCTGCAAACAGTTTATAAAGCGTAAACTGCACTAAGTTATGTTATATGGTGTAACAAAAGCTGAAATAAGCTTCGTTCCTTAAATAAATATCTGCGCTTGCCATAACAATTTCACCGTCAACATATTTATGACACTCGTTTAGATATAACACATACATGTAGTATATTATAATAATTACCTGGGTTTAGATGTAACTTGCAGCAGGTTTCTTTCTATTAAGGTGTCATGGCTTTTCCTGGTCTCGTCCTATAACATGTCAATCATAAATCAATCATTAACATATATTATATAACTTTGTGAAATCTGGTAATCTGATTGGTCAATAAAAAGTACTTATTTTTTAATAACGACCGCTGAAAGCGAATAATGACTCGCACAAGCTGCCTCGTTTTCACTTTCGCTTTAGACAAACATGGAAGTGCGCAAGTTGTAGGTGAGGAAAATTTAAAAGATATAGTGAAGAACTATGAGGCTGATAATACAAAAAAATTACAAGGATATCTGTGAATATTTTTGTGGAATACAGTAATACTTAGAACATATACCATTTCATGGTTGAGTTCGACTTTTCCACTCGGTGATTAGAGATTTGACGGTGTTTACGCGATTACGGAGACTAAAAAATGATGACAAGCATGCAATGTAAGATTGGATCTTATCTTAGAAGACAGGTATTTATAATTTGTCAATGCATTTCCTCTGCAAGTGAAAACGAGAGTGATTCTCAATCTGGGGGAGGGGGTACTCTGTGTTATTCTGAGATAGATATCTTGCGTTATTATTATGATATGGGTTAAAATTAGTTATCGAAGCTGAAATTTTCTCAAATGTTAACAATATTCAATGAATTCTGAAACACTTACATTCAACTTATTTATGGTTAATACTATCTCTGTAAACATTAGGAAAATATATACATTGTACTATTAAATTTGGGAAATTATTATTTATATAATATAATAAATATGGACTCAATATAGGTGCAATAGTGTGTGTTATAATACCCATTGGTGACACAATGTAAAGTAAATAAAGTTATATAGGCAGGTTTTATACCTCGGGCTAGCGCCCTCGGTCGATATACCACATGTATCTTCGGTCAATATTGTCATCCTGGGTCATTATAAATGCATATTGAGTCCATATTTGTATAATATTATCAATTAAATTGATTCCAACATATACAAGTTTTTTGCATTTAAAGATGCAATGCTGAACAGAAAACCTCTTTTTCTTTTTTCATTTACAAAATGTATAATTAGGGTTGGATACCGTTAAGGATGAAACGGTATGATACCATACCGATATTTTTGAAACGATACGGTATTTTTGACGATACGGTACTATACCTTGATGTATAGAGATCCGGGTTTATTTTAATAACAAATGTGCTTTCAATTATCACTGCTTATAACCAACTTTCAATATTATAGTCAAAAATGTGTTAAATATATTCTATTTCTATAATTCAACCTTTTATTAAATGATCAACAAAACAAAATAATCTGAATCTCTATAAAATAAAAAATAAGATTAAAAACACCGCCGTTTAATTCTCTGCTAAATTACAGCTGATCGTCTCATCCAGTCGCCATTTTGCTTGGTAGCACTAAATGACGAAACATGAAAAATGAAGAGAAATGACATCACAAATCCGCAACGTTTTGCCTTTTTAATTGACAATTTCTATCAGTTTCTATTAATAAAACTGAAACAAGATTAATTTAAATATTTTTAATACGCATTGGTTTCCCTCGATATCGGCTGTAGAAAGGAATTCTTACTTATATGATTTCGTTGATTAGCCTACCCTTTCAATGCACGGAGAATTCCATTTTAGCGAGTCTGTAATCTTGACTAAAAAATAATTTGTAATGTATAACAATATTTTAAAGATAAAGAAATACCGTTATCAGTACCGGTATGAAATGAAACGGTATTTTACCAGTATTTTGGAAGTAACTATTCGGTACGGTATTGGTACCGTGTACCGGTGTCCAACCCTATGTATAATACTGTTTGATTTCAATTAAACCTTATCCTTGTAAGTTAAGAAAATAAATTTACTTGAATGTTTTTTCCTTTGCTAACACAGAGACAATTTTTTTGCCTCTTTCCTTTACAAACAATCACAAAAAAGTAACAAAAAAATCTTACAATATCAAAGAATATGCTTTGTTTGTAATCACTCTTGGTTGCCATGGAGATAAAGGTCACGGCCTCAGTAATGATGGTCTTACAGTTGTTTTCTGCTGTCAGAAGTCTGGTAAAATAGATACATCTCATAATATGAAGCGGCATGAATAAGGACAACTACAGTACTGTAAAATTCTATTGTCTTCCCTTGCACTAAGAGATACATATATATAATAGAAGACCATGGACCACATCACTCACATGAGTACGTGGACTAGTTAAATAACACAAGTCAACTCAGTATTGAAAAGTTTACTTGTTGGGGGAGGGTGGATTCAAATTTTTTTATTACTTGAGAATGTCACTATATCAATAAAGCATACATGATTAATTTGGCTAAGATTTTTCCAACATATTACTAGATCTCCCATTGTGACCCCTCGCTAACCCCTTCATTTGAACAAACTTGAAACCTCTTCACCCAAGGCTACTTTGTGGCAAGTTTGAATTTGGCCCAGTGGTTTTTGAGAAGATGACAATGTAACAAGTTTACAACGACAACAATGACTTAACTTTCTCTGTAATTGACCACTACAAAGTCCTTGGAGGTGCCGGTGATTCTGTTGTGATTTATCAGTACTTTGATACCAATGTAAGTACTAACCTTTCTCCGTAATTGACTGCTACAAAGTCTTTGGCGGTTCCAGTGATTCTGTCGTGATTAATCAGTACTTTCAGTACTTTGATTACGTTGTAGGTACATGTACTTACTTTTCTCTCTAACTGACCACTACAAAGTCCTTCGCGGTGCCGGTGATTCCGTCGTGATTTATCAGTACTCTCAGTTATTTGATTCCGTTGTGGTTCTGTTTCAGTACTCTCAGTACTTTGATGTGTCGAGATGCTGTTTAGGTACTTTCAGTACTTTGATTCCATTCTAGGTACACACTTTTCTCTGTAATCGACCACTACAAAGTCCTTGGCGGTGCCAGTGATTTCGTCGTGATTTATCAGTACTTTGATTCCATTCTAGGTACTTACTTTTCTCCGTAATCCACCACTACAAAGTCCTTGGCGGTGCCAGTGATCCCGTCGTGGTGCTGGAACAGACCCAGGTGTCTCCTGGCCTCCACCAACAGCCGCATCATCTGGTCCACCGGGAAACCAGTCAACAGGTGCTTCTTCTGGTGGACCGAGGCAAGGCTCAGGGCTATCTCAGCTGATCTGTAGAGATACAAGTAAAATGAAACTAGACTTGAAGTTTTCTCAACTGTCCTATCATGAGATAAAATTAACTGTCCAATAATTAGATAAAAGTAACCTCTGCTGACCTGTTACAGGAAGTTTACAGAAATAAAACTCAGACAGGCAATCTGTCAAACTGAAATTTGTTTTTTTCAAATCGATATTCCTTGCAAAACCAAGTAATAAAGGTTTGTCAAATCTTATTGTCAAAGATAGGCTGTGAAAAGAGGTCTACTTGTAAACCTTACTATGAATAATAAGAAGGTTTGGTTGAGAATATTCAAGGTTATGAAAGGCTTATTACTTTTAAGTTTTGCAGAAGTACAAATTACCTAAGACTTGTTTCTATGTGTCTGTCAAGCTGTTCCGGAATGGCCAGGACGTACATTCTAAAATAGCCAGACCAGTAATACTAACCTAAGACTTGTTTCGATATGTCGGTCAAGCTGTTTCTGGAATGGTCGTGAGGTAAAATAACCAGACCAGTAGTGGTCATCCTTGTCGGCGTACGTGAAGAAATCCCCGGTCAGAACGGGGTAGTCGGGGGGCTTACTGCCAGGCCGTGACCCAGATAACTCGTGGATTTTATTGAAATACTCAGTCAGGGTACCAAACTGTGCCTGGAACAAGAATCAGAGACATGTAAAACAAATCCAGAATATTTACTGAAATAATCAGTGTACTAATCTAAGCCTGAAAGAAACAAGTTATTAATCTTAATTGTACATGTAAAGGAAGAACTGCTGTATAACTAAATTTTCACATTAAGTTTAGGATTTGACATTAACTTTTTTTCTCTATTTGTCCATTTGGAGAAGTGACCAAGACATTTACTTGTCCAAACTTCAACTTTGTTTAACAAAAAAAATCAACAATGATTAATTACGCTTTCAACTTGAGAAATATAATTAAGTCAAATACACTTGACATCTTGCTGGATTGATTCATGATGTTGTTGATAAATACAACAAACACATGACACAGAATTTTTCTAGGCTTTCTGTCCTGACAACAACATAAAGGTTCACAAGTGAACCTATCAATATCAAACAGAGTACAAAGTTCCAAAGTGCCTTTACAGTAGTATGGAATAAGTGAACTTAGATTTCAATTGAATGTGAACTCCAGGATCAAAGTCCAGTTTTTATGTACAGCTTCCATCTTGAAACTACCAATTAGCCTTCAAAAGTCATTCTTTTTATTATATAGACTGAGACTCCTTTACATTAAAAAGTAATTACGTGTAAATGAAAATATTGCAAATGAAACAATCATGATTTACAATAACACAAGTTCTTTGAATTTTTCGGCATAATATCAGACACTCAGTGCTTAATTGTTCATAAATTTCTTCACTTATTGCTTCTTTAGTAAGTCCCTCATCATCATATTAACATCCTTGTCATGGGTTCTGATCAATTTTAACATTTATATCGGTCTTGACACCTTGCTGAGGGTTCTTGTTGAAATAATTAAAGACTCCTATCAATGCCTGGATAAAAGTTTCTGAACATCTTAACTTGACCCCTAGCTTTGGGTTCTTATCAAACCTAACCTTGACCCCTAGCTGTGGGCATCTTATCTGGGACCCTAGCTTAGGGTAACCTTGACCCCTAGCTGTGGGCATCTTACATTGACCCCTGACTGAGGATTTTTATCAAAACTTACCTTGACCCCTAGCTGTGGGTTCTTGTCGAGGTAATCAAAGATTTTCTGATAATTGTCAAACTGTCTCTCGCATTCATCAACTCTGTCGTATCGGAAGTCATCTCCCAGCGGGATAAAGAGGGCGTTACTACCATACAGTGAGGCCTTCTTCTTGTACTGGTCAATTAACAGGGCTGTCCTGTAATTAATGATTACTGGTAATAATTACTGGTCAATTAACAGGGCTGTCCTGTAATTAATGATTACTGGTCAATTAACAGGGCTGTCCTGTAATTAATGATAACTGGTAAGTTAGCAAGTCTGTGCTGTAATTAATAATTTATGATCAATTAATATATTGGACAAATCAGAATCCTTGTTGCAGTGTAATCAAAGTATTTTACAGAGTATTGGTCTTTATTTTTGACACATAACCTGAGGAATAAAAGATAAAAAATTAGTGCGCCCGTGTAGAGAAATATCTTGACAAAACATTGAGGAAATAAAAAATTAGTGCGCCCCGTAAAATTATCGAGATATTTCAGTGCGCCCATACCCACCCATTTCGGAAAAAAGACGTAATATCGTCATATTTGTTTTCTTTGCTATTTAATAAAATATATGGACAGATAACTCTTCCATTCTTGTAGACGTTTTGGGCGTGCACATCGGCCTGGGTAGTTCAGTTATCCAGGACTTGTAATATGTCGTATTTAACATGTTGAAATGAAGAGAATGTTTTAAACACGATAAATAATCCCTGGCATATGTATGTTTTAGGGTCAAATATTTCACAATTTTTTTTACATTACATTAATTATAAATATATACAATGTATATGTGTACATGGTGTATAAATGTTATCATGATTATATACAAACATACCAGATTCTCATTGGAACCATTTGTGAAAAGAGATTATAATTGTCATGATTGTTGTCATGATTTGGTACAGACTCTTCTTATCATGTATTTGACTAGATTTAGTCCTTTTATCATGTTTATAGATTTAATGATGGAATTCAGTTATATTTTGTAATAATTATAAATTATTAATAATAATGATGAAATTCAGTCATTTCTTAAAAAATCAAACAGCATGTCCTGTAGCATACATTTGTGTTCATGGCTGTATGCTGGATATAAATAATTAAAAATCAGATGAGTAAAAAAAAAAAAGAAAGAAGACTATATTATAAAACCCTAATACTGCCTCATAATATTTAATATTTTAATAGATTCAGGTGTTTTATTTTCTGACACTAAAGCAGAGGTTTTTATTTTTTTTAATTTTTTTTTTGTTTGTTTGTTTTTTTTTTTTTTTGTTCTTTTCTATTTTATTAAAAAGTTTTTTAAAATTTATTTTAAACTACATGAAACCCCTCTCGTATAGTTGCCTATAGGGGTACTGGTCAATTAGCATGATTAGGACAGCTTGGATTATTATTATTTTTTTTTGCTTGTTTTATTTTATCATGATAAACGATAAATATATGTATATATTTATGATGATCAGATTACATACAAATATACCATGTATACCAGCAATTTTCTTATGTAGTCTGAAAACATTTTTTGGAAATTAATAGATTAATCATGCGTATGTAAATGACTAGATTTAGTCTTTTATGAATTAAATGATGGAATTCAGTTATAATTGGATATTATAAATTATTATAAATAATGATGAATTTCAGTCATTTCTTAAAAAATTGAACAGCATGTCATGTAGCATAATTTTTGTTCACCATCATGTTCACTGCTTCAGTTGCTGTATACATGGTATATTAGCATGATTAATAAACATGATAGCTAAACAGCAGATGGGGGAAAAAATCTTTGAAACTATTTTTTAAAATATTTTGACTGTTTTATCAGCATTGATCATCAGTTGTATTCAGTTTAAAACATGTAAAATATTACATGTATTATTTTATTTAAATGTTTAAATTACACCTCAACACTGAACATGCTGAAGAATAAACATACGTTCTTGACCATGTTGACTTGGTATGAGGATAACAGCTGTTTGTTTGACCCAAGAACAGATCTGTATGCTGTTGCTTGAATCTGCAGGCTCAGCTAGGGCATAAAAATCTGTCCACATTACCATGATTACAGTTCTTATCATCAGTATCATGTATAAAGACAAAATAAAGTGGTACTACATACTACATATATACTATATGCTACATCAGCATGATCAGCATGGATAACAAAATTGGAAAAAAAGAAATAAAAATTAAAAATTCAGTATTATTTTCTAAAAATTGTCATTTCAAGTTCATTTTGAAAAGAATTAAATGAGTAAAATTCAAAGTTCTGAAAAAAGATTGATGTCATGCATGGCTCTTGTTACACAAATGAAATCATAAGAAGAGATTATCAATTCCCCTCCCTTACAAAACTTACCCCTACCCCCATTTGTTAAAGTTTTAAGTTTTGAAATCGTGGCCCCTGTGGGTAGGGTGGGGTCACAATGAGTATTACAAAGGGGAAATTTGGTGAAAACAGCAGGGGTAAATTTACTCAGTTGAGCGCTAATGGGAATTTTGTTAAATTAAAAATTGAGTCATTTAAATAGGATATCAGTCTTTGCCAAGTATTTTTTTAAGGCCATTCCATGTTTTTTTCTATGTTTAGCGTCCACATGCACCTTGGTTATTGATACCCCATGTCAGAAAAAAACAAGCAAAATATGGAGTCCTGAAATTAGTTATTCTGTTAAAAAATCTTCGAGTTCTGTTAATTTTGCTATATATTTCAGTGTATAGAATTTACGTAAATGATGTAATGTGGGATGTATTTTAAGTATTAAATACTTCATTTTACTAAGGAATTGAAATCAAATCGTGTTTTTTTGCAAATAGGTAGCTAGGTTTTGAAATATTGATGAACGCTAAACAGCAGAAAAACTTTGAATAGCCTAATAGATATGTACTTTTTTAGCTCTACTGGTCAGAGACCAGAAGAGCTTATGCGATAGTAATGCGTTCGTCGTCCGTCCGTCTGTCTGTCTGTCCGTCTGTCTGTCAGTTTGTAAACAATTTTTCAAAATGCTACTCCTCCTACAGTTTTGGTCCGATTTCAATATAACTTGGCACACAAGTAAACTTCACTAATATACACAATTCTGTGCATCTGTTTTGGATTTTGATGAACGATGTTGCCATGGTTGCTAAAAATAGAAAATTCTGTGAAATTATTTCAAAATGCTACTCCTCCTACAGTTTTGGTTTGATTTCAATATAACTTGGCACACAAGTAGACTACACTAAGTTACATAATTCTGTGTATCGGTTTTGGATTTCGATAAACGATTTTGCCATGGTAACTAAAAATAGAAATTTCTGTGAAATTCTTTCAAAATGCTTCTCCTACAGTTTTGATCTGATTTCAATATAACTTGGCACACAAGTAGGCTATACTAAGGTTCATAATTCTGTGTATCGGTTTTGGATTTCGATAAACGATTTTGCCATGGTAACCATGGTAACTAAAAATAGAAATTTTTATACTAAGATACATTATTCTGTGCATTGGTTTTTATTTTGATAAGCGGCAAGGACCATTTTTATATTAATTGCTATTTTAAAGTTTCAAGTCCCAGCTGCTACTTTTCTCTTCCTTTGTTTTATGTATAAACCAGTAGAGCTACAGTCTCAACAGAGACTTCTGGTTTCAAGATGTAATGCATCTTCATATTTATGCAGGTGGGCATTAAATCTCATTTATCTGACTTTCTGTTTGTTTGTAATAATAAATATTAAACTTGCATTAGTATTAACTTGCTAGCTTTCATATTATTATTGACAAGGTGTTTTTTAGAATGTATATGGTTTTTGACCTTGAAGTTTGAACTTATCTTAGTCATAACATTTGCACCTGAGGAGATGGGGCCTGCACTTTTTCAAGTGTGCATTACTATGATTACCTTTGACCACTAAATAGTCAGCATGTTCACATTAGCCTGGAATCCATTATTTTTTTGAATGATTGTAATTATTAATATTCTTATAGTGTACATGTGTATCATGTGTATTGAGGGAATAATTTTATTGAATACATTTGGTACTGCATATTTATTGTGACTGCTTTTCTTAGTATTCAAATATGACTGCTTTTCATCATTTTTAAATATGACTGCTTTCACCATTTTTTAAATATGACTGTTTATAATCATTTTTTTATTATGACTGCTTTTCATCACTTTTTACAATTATGAGTACCTGTGGTTATTGTCATTTTTAAAATCATTTTTGTTTATATTTTATGTACTGATAGTAAATCATTATTTATATACTTAAAATGATAAAGAGTGAAAAACTGATTGTTGGGAATGTTTTATAATCATCGATAATGGATCATGTAACTAAATATAGAACAGGGGGGGGGGGGGGAGATTTTTTTAAAAAAAAATATCATGATTCTGATTACATAACTTAATTTTTATCCATATTATACATAAAATACATATAACACAACACATATAAAAGCACACAAGTACATTTTTATATATGGAATGAACTTGAGTATCCTGGCAATGTACATGATGTACATTGATAAAAGTGATCATGTTTTTGTATTTTCAAAAATGCTAAATGAAGTTTAAGGATGTTTTTACCATACATGCAGTATAAAAGAGTATGTAACCTGATTGAAAATTTTTCAGAGGGGAAAAAAAAAGTTATGTTCATGGTGATTTGAACACATCCTCTTTACTACTAAATATCAGCATGTGAAAATCAGACTTTTTTTAATAATATTTAAAAAAAAAAAACTCAGATGCCCCCTAGGAAGGCTTTTCTGCACGGGTCTGCTTGCTCCGTGGGTTGCCCGACGCCCAACCAGGCGGGGAGATTAAATCCTGCTCAAGACAAAGATCCACTTGCTCCCAACGATGCTCAATGGTCAGTGAGATTTGCCCACTGTGCCATCTTGCATCTTATAGTGTATGGAGGGAATAATTTCATTGAATACATTTGGTATCTTTATTATGACTGTTTTTCATCATTTTTAAATATGACTGTTTTTCATCATTTTTTTTTATTATGACTGCTTTTCATCATTTGTCATTCAGTTTTGAAATCATTCAATTTTCTCATCTGTGGTTATTGTCATTTTTAAAATCATGCTTATATTTTATATACTGATAAAAAAAAAAAACAAACAAATCCTTAAGATGACACGATTTAAAAA